ATCCATGCTGGCTATCCCTCAGGATGTTGGCGTTGGCCAGTCCATTAAGGATGGCCTCTTCAATGAACTTTTCTAAGACCTTCCCTGGGACAGAGGTCTGGCTGATGGGCAAGTAGGTTGCCGGATCCACTTTCCTCCCTTTCTTGAAGATAGGCACCACATTGGCCTTCTTTCAGTCTTCAGGCACTACATCAGAGTGCCAGGAGTTCTCAAAGATCCGTGCCAGGGGCTGGGCTATGATGCTCGCCAGCCCCGTTGAGTACCCCGGGGTGGAGATTGTCAGGGTCAGCTGACTTGAAAGTATCCAGCCTCTCAAGGTGTTCTTTCACAAGATCAGCATTTATGGAGTATGGAAGAGTACAGACCAACTGCAGACACTTCCTCTGCCTGACAAAGGGCATTTATACCCAAAAGCTTTCAAAGAACATTTTTTCCAAGTATTTTAGTTTAGTAAAAGATATTTGATTTACCCAAAGAACCTTATCTGCCTATGTCCTTAGACCAACACAGCTACAACCCACACCCTGAAACACCATTATAAAAGCTTTGGCTGTAGAAAGACAGCCCCCAGGGGTGATGGGAACTCCCTGGAAGCAGATATCAGGGAGAAGCTGCTTACTTATCAAATTGTCACTCTGCCATCTCTGGCAGGTATGGCTGTGTCAGCTGAGCCTCCTATGGGACACAGCAGGAGGGATTTTTATTTCAGGTTATTCAGTTAGTCCATAAGGTGCTTCTTCCAGATTAGTTATACCATCTGCCCAAAGGACATGAGCTGAGACAACAAAATATCCTGTTGATATAGCTGCATCTTCACCATGGGCAAAGGCTGCTAGTAACCCTTATCACACTGATTAAGTGAAGTGACATATTATCAAATAATGTTGACAGTATATTAGAACTGGGCTAAAAATCTAGTTTGTGACTCTGTGGACTATGTCCATTTCAAACTGTGAACTCTACTTTGTATCATGTCCTAAACATACCCAACCTTTTCATGAAAGTGTATTTTAATGCACTGAATTTTGTTTCTGGCTTAAGAAGGGTGCTCAAAACCTCTTTGGAAGATAACCACTTCAAAGACAGGAAAGGGTAAAGGGAAATCTGTGACTATAAAACCAGAACCACATAGTAAGGTGATGAAGGAAACCTCACAGAAGGGATTAAACCCTCAAAGCTCTCTGACCCAGACTATTTTTCAAGTCCAATTATCATAATGGACAGCGATCTTCCATTTTATGGACAATGGAAAATAAAAATCGAAGTGAAGCAAAGAGTAACAGCAACAATAAAGCGCATGAGGGAAGTGATCCCGTGAAGTTCATGTTCTTTAACAACCATTTAGAATGGATCTTATTAAAATGGCATTCATCTTCCTTCTGCTCAAAAGATTGGTTCCACTCACCTTTCCAAGGGCTGTCAACAACTGAAAATCAATGGTTTGCCTATATCTCAGGATCCGGAGGATGCCATCCAAGTACACTTGATCCTTATTGAAACAGCCTGAAAGAATCAGATACCTGGTATTGTTTTCAATCTCTTTCAAAGCAAGACATGTACCAAAAATAGTTATGCAGAAAATCATGGTATTTTCTTGCATACCACATGCTCCCAAATAAGACATAGATCTTGTTTTTGGGAAGACAGAATGAAGGTTTTCCAGATGTATGGCTTCATAGAGCAGGGGCAGAGATTAATCTTCAGTTTGCTCATCCTTCTTTTTCTGCTCCAGAAAAAGCTACAGTTTTCACCCTTTCACAGCTGAATTAGCAGATTTTGGCTGCTCAGGCAAAAGCTGAAACTGTAGCTGCTGTTGAAGATTGGACTCCACTGGCAGATCTAGGATTTGAAGATCTAGAACTAAAAATAGTCTGCAGGGCTATGAAGTAGGAGAAAAGATCCCAGGAGTAGCTAATAGACAGCAAAAATACTGAAGAAAAGATAGCTTGATTAGTAGATAGTCAGGACCATTAAAAAGGAGAGAAGATCTTTAACACCTATTGAAGGTAGATTATAATGACCCAGGAAGTTAATTGACTCCATCAGCACTGCCTGAGTACAAATGTCACTACTGCTGCTGGGCAGTTGTTTTTAAACTTTGATTGGATTAGGAATCAAAGTGGGATTCAACGACTCCACTGTCTCCCTTCCCCTGATATGCCCCTGCCTCCATGCAGCTGCTGGAGAGAAGGAAAAGAAACAGCAGCCATCTTACACTGTTTCCATGCTTTTCCTCTGGGCAGAAAATCATCTTCCTCTCTTAAGACCTGCACCCCAATTTTGGAAGGCTAATTTTTGGGAAAAAGTTGAGCATGGTACGCAAGTAAATATAGTAATTTTATTTCCTAACATTATATACATTTATTCCACAGCTTGAAAACTTTTCCCCCTATACCAAACAGATAGTTGAGACAATGAGCCACAGACAGAAATGAAAGGAAGAGAATGTGGTCTCTGCCAGTAAAGTGCTGCAGCAGCACTCTGGTCGCAAGCTCAGTCCACAGGATGTTAAAGGCAGGCAAGTTGTGAACCTAAATTTACTTGTAGTGTCCCTCTTAATTCCTTTACTGTATAAATCAGAAATGTCTTCTTGACCTTTCTTTAAACACAGTGCCTTTGTCTCTTCCTTTACAAACACAAAGAATTGAATTTTTCCACAAAGTTTACACTCTGCCAAAACTGGCTGCACTTACTTTGAAGACCACTTTGGACAAGGAAGATAGAATGGAATCGACTGCAGAGAAAACCAACCTGGCTGGGATGTATCAGTCCACCCCCTCTTGGCTCGTACACAGTAATCCCACCTAGTGTTGGGGTCCTTTACAAATCTCCCCACATCCTGGAAGAGCTGACTGAAGGACATCTGGCTAGCTTGATAGACAGTATAGTAGAGAAGGGCAGCCCTCCACAGGAAAGGGTCCTTTCGGAACAGGACACTGTGAATACTCGCCAAACCTTCTTCAGTAGGATTGATTGGCTTTAAACCATGCTTTTTACGTCCATTCCAATTGCACCAAGGCTGGCTGTTGTTGTTCATGCCCCGAAAATAATGAGTTCCTAAAAAAGGAAAAAAGCATGGCACTTTGAATGTTGACAACCAGTAGCACAATGGTAAAATAAGCCAAAATGTGTCCATCAGGAGCAAATCTGATCCCAGTGGGAGCAGATCAGGGCAGGGATACTCCTGCCCTGCTCTGCTACTATATGGCAGCCAGGAGAAGCTCTGTGCCCCTGCAAGTGCCAGTCCTGGGCTGCAGGGGACACTGAAGTGAGGCCTGGGCTCCAAGGAGACAAGGGAAGCTCTCTCACCTCTGGTATGCTGCCTCCCACCCTCACCCCTACCCCCGGCAGCTGCTTGTCGCCCGACCCCTACTCTGATGGTGGAGCAGGGGTGGGGACAATGTCCCCTTCCCCTGCAGGAGGCAGCTCCAGGGCCCAACTCCAAGATCAGAGCCAGGGCTGGGACACTGCTCCCTACTCCAGGCAGATGCCTGCTGCTGGGACTGGCTCTGATCTCAGAGCCAGGGTGGGGACAACTTGCTCCTGATCAGCTATGTAACTGCACTAGTGTGCACTAGCTCCTGCACAGTTACATGGTGATATGCTTTGCTGTGCAGTAGATTAGTCTACTGCATAGTAAAGTGTCTCATGTAGACACAACCAGCAAGCAGAAGCTAACTCGCAGTAGCTTAGCCCTTTGGAGGATAAGTTATTACAGGTGGGCTTCCATTTAACAGCAAGGTAAAAGCTTGGATACACAGGGAGTTGCTGCAAAGCAGCTGACATGCAATAAGGCCCTGCCCCTTTTTACTGTGCAGTAAATTGTTCAGATATTCTTATTCTTAGAGGAGGTGGCTGCTGCTCTTTTACAACAGGGTAGATATAACATTAGTGCAGGACACCCAGAGCTAAAAACTCAAGGATTAACTTGTTCAAATCCCCTGGATTTCATCTGGTTTTGATATTCTAAATGCAAAAGCTCACTCAGAACCTAGAAAACCTTACAGAAACTTCCTGCTAACCTGGATCAAAAATAGGGGAGTTTTCCAGATTTACAGTTCTTTGGGAAAAATGTCCTATATCCATATATCTTAAAGCTATCTGCTGGGGTTTCTATCTTTACTACAGTCTATACATATTTCTTTAACACATCTACAGTGTAAGCTCTTTCAGGCAAGGGTCAAGCCCTGTAATGTACAGGGTCTAGTCTAGTATACTGAAAAATAGTAAATAACAATGCATATAGTCTCTGCTGTAGGCAGAATTAATAACATTTGTCCATACCTATTTCATGCCTCAGCATCCCTTCCAGCCAATGTTCACGTGCAGTGGAAACATTGATAGTCAGAGTTGGACGGCCATTGACTACCATCATTGAGGCCCGAGAAAGCAGGTCCTCGGTGAGGTGAACCACAATCTAAGAAGATAAGACATCTTAGGTATAAGAGAGCTCTTTTCTTTCCCTGCTATTGCCTCTTCTACTCTTCCTCCCATTCTTATTATGTTCCATCAGGACTTGGTCACTCACCTCTTATGGCTTCCCAAATTAAGACCCATGTGAGAAGTTTTTGCCTCTCCAGAAAGTCTGTAGTCATCTCTGAAGCCCCACTGATATCAGGTGGCTCTATATCAGTGGTTCCCAAACTATGGGTCGTGACCCCAAAAAGGGCTGCAACATCAGCAGAGGGGGTCATGGGGGTGTGGGGCATGGGTTGGGAGTGAGGGGCCATGCTGAGGAAATGGGGCCATAAATGGGGTCGTTTTGAGGAAAAGTTTGGGAGCAGTCAGAAAAGCACTGCTCTACACAGTCTAAGAATTCGACTATGCAGATATGATTGCAGAATTCGAACCTAACTGATCCACAGGGGAGGTGGGGGAGAGGGGAGTCAGAACTGACTATGCACAAAGAGCTTACAAATGCACAAACAAGTATTCTTGGGTTGAATTTGAACAAAATCAGAGAGACTTTAATTGATGGAACGTATTTGTGCTTAAATCTTTTACAAAAAAATTTTAAAAATCACAATTTAAAAGTCACCCTGAATTAGGGAATAGAAACATCATACATTTTTTTGCTTCTTTATGATGCAAAAAAGCATAAGCCTGTCACTGTTCAACATTAAACAGATATGATTCAGGGTTTTTAGTGCAGTGATTTCAGCCTGCTTATTCCCGTGACTAACATAAATAAAAAGCTCTATAGCCTTTATTAGAGGTGCAGAAAAGGAAGTAAAAAAAACTCCTATGAAAACAAGCAATTGAAATGAAAATTACCAATAAGGCATTCATTTTAACAACATGTCTTCCCTTTAACTGGAGAAAGATTTTATAGGGGGGAACCTAACAATCTTTAAATGATATTAAAAGAGTGGAGCTGAGGTGTCCTTTTGGGTAAAAAAGAAAACCTTTAATCCAGATGGGCTGAACCTGCTGGTTTTGATGCTGGTGTTGGACTCTGGCCACACAAGACATACACACAGAGGAAGAGAAAAAAGAGCAGAGAGAGAGAACTAAACTTCTCTTTCTGGTGCTGACTTTTAATTGCAACAGCAATTTTGCTACTAGACAGAGACAGACTCAACACACATCCCAAGCACTATTCAACTTGACTGAAGCTAGCAGAGGTGGAATATCACTGAGTCATCTTCTAGTTTTGTTCTGTCAAGTCATTTCTCATGACCGGGATAAGGGTCCCATAGTGGGATCCCTGGGTCCTAGGAGGTGATATGTGTGGAAGCCATGATAATAAACCTTCCAGTCTACCTGTTCTAGCATTGGGGTTAATTTTTGGCAGGGTCAGGAAATTATTTCGGGCGGAGGACCACTTACCCAGTTTTGGCAGGCTGTTGAGAGCTGCATGGGTAGCCCCGCCCCTTGACAAGTGCCCCGCCTACTGGTCACCATTTTGGGACTAATGTTCCAATGTCTTGTGACCAGTGTCCCAGGGCCAGCACTGGTGGGGCCCAAAGCAGGACACAGGCTGGCAGGGGTCTGTGGAGCCGGGCTAAGCTACACCAGCAGGGAGGGGGGGGAGCTGGCATGGCTCCATAGAGCCCCTACTGGCTGGGACCCCGTGCTCCTGCCACCCTGCTCTGGACCCCGCTGGCACTGTGTGGGCCCCATGCTCCCGCTGGCTCCTGTGCCCAGTCACACCCAGTGCCCCCCAGCCCTGCGGTACAGGTGGGAGGCAGCACATAGCCCCGACCCCCTGCTTGCTGGCAGGGAAAAAGCTGGTGCTGAGCGCAGGGAAAAGCGGGAACACAGGAACATTTTTGACAGGAACCAATGGCAGATAAATATTAATTTTCTAAATTTTTTAGGGGCCCTGTGAGCCGGATAGAATGGCCTTGCTGGCCGGATCTGGCCCACAGGCCGTATTTTGTCCACCCCTGATTTATGGACACCTAGAAGAGGGCAGAAGAGTCCTTCCTGTCAGAATGCTGTTTACCAATTCTGGTCTAGTTTCTGACATGCTCATTTTTCATTCACTGATTTCACGTTACACACTCTTCTTGTTTACCAGATGTGATCTCAGCACAGTCCTTTTCTGTTCAGACTAATGCAGCTTCTGCCTACTTTAACTCTTGCTGATTTTTATAAAATAGAATGAAGTAAGATGAACTGGACTTTTTGTTAGGTTGGATAATTCTGGATATAAGCTTCTACACAACAAACCCCAGAAAATAAGGCATATAAGACTTTGTATTTAAAGGTTTAGGAAATGTTCAGGGAAACAGACCTTCTTAAAAAAATGTTCAGACCTTTTTTTTAATACATGGTAAAGCAAGAAAAGATCAAGTAAGCTTTTCTTTTTTTAAAACCCACCTGTACCTGTCCTGCCAATATCCATGCCTCAGAATTCTACATTGTGCACTACTGATGAGACTAATACCTGAAATGGTAAAAATTGCAGTACCCTCCACTTCCAAGCACTACTGATCTCAAAGACGGTAGGGGACAGACCCGTGACTGACTATTTTTGTCAGATAAAAAGCTTTTCAATCCTCCTTTAAAACACATTTTGTTCTAACATTCACCTTAATATTTCCCTGTTTCAGATCTGAAACAAGACTGCACATTTTATTTGGGAAAACAAATCAACTCACAAAAATCAATAAAACGTATTGACACTGATGAGTCTAGTTCAGAACAGAAAGGCTGACAGATAAGCCAAACCATGAAGGCGACACGAGAGAGAAAGGTGTGGCAAGTTGTCATTCAGCCCCGTGGCCCTTGTTGAGCAAACAAATGGAAATCAAAGAAGAAAGTAGGTCGTGTGTGAAGGGCCCAGTTAAAGTATATGTACATGATTCTCCCTTAATCCACCACAGCAGGACTTAAATGAGTTGCAAGAGATATGTGGACATTGTACTGGATTGGACAAATACATGAGGTCCATCAGGTGAAATCCCAGTCTGACTCTCCTATTTAGAGTTAGTCTCCCAAGAAAAGTAGTGAAAGCTAGTGTTATGATTGCTGAAAAATGACATTAGACAAACCATCAGGGAAAAAATGTAAGACCTCTTCCTGACTGGATTTATAGTCTAGTTCATTTCTAATGTTTGATTCTGTGGTTTAAGTAGCTGCTGACTGTATGCATCCTACCTCACCCAGGCAGCCTTCTTTCACCATGTATTTCCTGACATGATTCCAGATGCGACTCTTGGTCAGCAGGCTGCCTCCAGTGACCTGTTCAAACTTTTCATAGCTTCCATATTTCTGCAAAGTCCGTTCCATAATATTGATGGACTGGGGAGAAAAAAGAAAAAGAGACAGAAATACAATAAGACACCAGTTTCAGACTGGTGACTACCACAATGGGACAAATAGCAGTTTCCTCCCTGCATCCCAACGCATGTATGTATCACTGAACTACATTTTTCATGGGTAGGCCAATATGCTCTGTAATCAACTCCTGCCACTCTCAGAGATCTATACAAATTCAAAGACATTGAAAAAAGAGTCTGATTAATTAATTTTGGGCCCAGCATACTTAGTTCCCTATGACTTTGGGAAAAACCACTTGATCTCTTCGTCTTATTACTTAACCCTTGAAAATGGGGATGATAATGCTTCCTCAGCTAACAGAGATGTTCAAGGGTTAAGTCATTAGCATGTTCCCCATCCCCACATGGTGCACAGCCCCCACTGCCAGCAGCTCAGGAGCAACAGATGGTAGGTCCTCAGGGTGCTCATGGCCATGGCAGGCAGAGTCCCTGGTAGCACACAGCTTCAGCTGAGTCCCGGGGGCTGCACATGGTAGCACAGAGCCAGCCCAGTCCAACCCGCTTGGGTGCCCCTTGAGACCAGACCAGGCTGGCTCCATACCAGCACGTGCAGCTTGGGGCATTGCAGGTGGGAGCCATGTACCAACCAGCCAAGCCAGCTCCGTGCCTCCATGTCAGGTTTCCAGCAGGAAGCCACACATGGAGGTATGAAATTGCATGCCATTGGGTCAGGTGAGCTCTGTGTCTCCACATGAGGCTTTCTGCTGGAGTCCTAGAAGCCCCACATGGAGGAACAGAGACAGTTGGCCTGGCCCGGTGGTGCGCAGCCCACACCCACCCACAAACCCCACAGTCACCCACAAACCCCATGCCCCCTTCCCCGGCAGGCAGGAGCTCGCCTCTCCACTTAACAGCTGTCCAGTCATGCGCCACCACGCTCAGTGCCTCCACATAGGACTCTCAGGTGCATAATAGCATATATATATATATAAATGAAATATATAGATGTATATAATAGGATGACAGTGCATGCTACAACTTGATTATTGTGATGCTGAAAGGAATCTGTTTGCTGTCCACAGGTACATACACACATATTAACTTTCTGAGAGTTAAATGGCTTAACTATTTTAAGTCAACTTAACTGTCAGAGTGTGCACACACATGAGGAGCAGAGTTGACTTAAATGCGGTGCAAGATAATATACCTCCAAGATGTATTATCTTGAGTTGTACTAGTTAAGTTGACTTAGCTCACAAGATGGCTACCACCATGTCACAGAGCTGTATGTGTATACACTCGAACATGGCTTAACTTAAGTCGACTTGGTTAAGTTGACTTAGTTGTGTCGCCTTATTTTAAGTCAACTTAGTATGTGTGTACACGCCTCATGAAACAGAATTGATTCAGAACCCCACAGAGCTGTTGACAGCTTCTTTTAATTGTATTTTTAACTAAAACTAGGCAACCACAGAAAAGTGCCACTGGAATACATTAATGCTATTCACAAGGTGTCCTATCTAAGTATCATAGCTCCTGGCTGAAAGAGACATGCATTCTCTGAATGCTGAACAAATATTCCATGTCATCCTTGATAGTTCCCTATTACCTAGCTTAGAATAATTTAATTAAATCCCAAGCACCTCCTGAAGAAGCCAAGGGCTCTATTCAACTTGAATGTACATCAGTATAGTTCAGCAAATTTAATTTTGAATAAAAATAATGAATTTAATGAATTAATTGCATTTTGTACATAGGTCTGGGAGCAAAGGATCTGTCTGCTACCTGTAATTACCATCTTTCTTCCCTTACACTCCTCTGTACATGATTTACTGTATCGAATTGTTATTTACCAAGCTGCTTTTAAGTGAAGTGAGTGGGGGTGGCACTAGCTAGCGCCTGCTCCCACAGAAGCCAAGGGGAGTTTTGCCACTGACTTCAGTGGGAACTGAATTGGGTTTCAACATCAGTGAATAAAAATTGATATTTTAATTCTCAGAACAACTGTTTCTTGGAAGATCTGGGATGATGTATATGCATATGTACAGCATGAGCTAGGAAAACCACGAACAGGCACAAGCACGTGTGAGAGAATGGTCTCAAGGCATGTATGTTATGAGCCTGACTCAAAGCCAACTAAATTCAAAGAGAAGTCTTCCCAATGACTTTGGAGGGTTTGGGGATCAGATCCTTTATGAATACACAGTAGCAGTTAAGTTGAATGGATAAGAAAAGTTCAGAGATACTATTCAACATTAACAAATGAGCAACTTAGTTCAGGTTGGATCAATTTGCTTAATTTAAAAATAACCTCAGATAAATGATGTAGTAACTTCATTCTATTTACATGTTAACAGGAGATCCTTAAATGGAGGAATAATTTGATTTCTTCTCACAGACTAGTTCTTTATGATAAAGCCCATTTTTTTCTGGTTCAATTCTTCCTTGGGCAGAGAAGTCAGCACAAGGCCCATTTATCATGGTAAGCTTCAAGCAGAACCGAAGAGGTACACTGTCATTGTGTAACTGGGCGAATTTCCCTTTCTCTGTTTGGACTTCTTCCCTTAAATCAGGGAACCTAACCTTTATTGAGTTCTGCTTCAATGAACATTTCAGGCTTTAACATGTCCCAGGATTAGTGAGGATTAGTGACTAAGTGCAAAGACAAAATCTAAGCAAAAATTAGTTCTAAATTAACAGCTGATTTTAACAGTCATGGAAATCTTGTGTTTCCTCAAAATGTATTTCAAAACTAACTTAGTGGCCTAAGGCTGAACTTGTTCTAACAATCATTTCATTTAATATAGGTGGTGTTCTTTGATCACTGTGCAGATCCTGGTGTGTGAACATCCTATTCCTATAAATCGCTTATAAAAAATACATCCCCTATTAGCTACAGGAGCACAGTTTGCTCTCTGTGAATAACCTGAATAATTCAGAACAATTCTTCATTTTCTTTTACAGTGACCAGATCTTTTAAGATCGTGTCACCTACTCATTGTTCTGTGTATCTGGTTTCCCTGAACCAATTAATTTTATTATTTCAGTTAAGCAAAGTGTCTCTCAACATTCTATCCTCTGACATGACATTTTCTTCACTGAATTTCCTTGTCTTAAAAGCGGTGAAGTCCATTAGATAAACACATGAAACTAGGCATCTATTTATGTTTCAGTCTCTTTGCACATACAGTTACAGTGAAACAATAGCCCATAGACTCATGTTCTACTTCCCAACCATTTTTTCTTCTCTCTTCCTTGCCTCTACAGTTCAGTTCAACTTCACTTCTCAATAATTTATACTGGAAAGATGTTACTAAAATGGAATTAAGATGTTGGAAATAGAGATCTAAATTACATTTAACAGAGCTCTGGTAGGTGAAATTACTGTATCAATTGATCATTAAGGCTAAGTAGAGAAGTTACACTTAACATGTATTAAGCATGCAGAAAGCACTTTAAAGCCATAACAGAACAGACATTCACAGCACTTAAAGCACTTTCAAATGGCAGATTCTACTCTAAGGGCACCAGTAAATATGGTACAACACATTCTCAACTATTCCCCTGCATGGCAAGGAAGAAAGGAAGAAATCTGAGACAAACCAGTTATGAAGACTTAGGGGATCCAGCCAAAGAGTCCAGAGGCCTAAGGGCTTACAAAGGGGCCAAGTCCAGATAGGGTCAGAGTGCGAGACCAGAGGGGGCAGGGGCTGAGAATGAGACCAGTGGACCTGGGAACTCAGGAAAGAGAGAGTGGGACCAGAGGATCCAGGCCCAGAGAGGGGCAGAGTGTGGGACCAACCAGAGGAGCCAAACCAGAGAGAGGCAGAGTGTGGGACCAGAGGGTCCAAGCCCAGAGAGGGGCTGAAAGTGAGATCAGGGGGTCTGGAGGCCCAGAAGAGGGGCCAAGTGTGTTGGACTGAAAACAAGTGACATCATGATTGAAAACAGGTGCCATCATGCAGTGATAACACCCGCAAGGCATGGGGCATGATGTTGGGGTAGATTGGAGCCACGCAGTTACCTCATATGGTGTTGACCCTGGACACCTTGGGGGCTGTTACAGTAAGACTAAGTCAGCCTCCCTTATTTAAATAACAATGTTACATCAAGGCATGGAGGATGAAAAAAGGGGCCGACTGCCAAAAGAATAGGGTAGAAAAACATGTTTTGGCTTCCAGGGGCTTCATGGCCACCCCTGGAGATGGTATCCTGTGACATCATGAAAAGCAGTAATTGGAAGCCAAGGAAGCAGAAGAATGGGAGAAGAGCTCTGCATCCCAGAGCAAGTAGATATTGGAAAGGACCACGCTCAGCAGCAGAACAAGGTTGAGCTCCACAACCGGCTTAGTTACAGAAGAAGATTAAAGGGGCTGGGATACATTTAGGAAGGGGTAAGGAAGACAGAAAGAGGGTGGATGTATGGATTTGTTTGCTGTCTTCAGGTTGCAGAACAGAGTTAGCGGGAGGGGTGTTTAGTGTCTCCCAAACTTCTGAGCTGTTCTGGTTGCCACATAGAGCCAAGAAGGATATTTTCCCCCTCCTGTTGCAGGTGTCAGTTTGGGGTTTTTTTTGTCAACTTCCTCAGAAGCACTGGGTGTTGGCCGCAGCCACAGCCATGGATTTCGACTGGAGTGTGCTGATGTTCCTGCTAGAGCTAAAACCCAGAGGTTCTTGGATAGAGGGTGCTGCCCCAGAACTCAGGGTCAAACCGATTGCCAGATTTGGCATCAGGATGGATTTTTAGCCCAAAGTCAAACTGTTACAGGTTGTGGAGGTTTTTACCTTCCTCGGTAATGGGCAGGAGGGCATGTTCCTCTTTCTCTCAAATGTATTTAGCAACATTTGCAGTAGCCAGAGCTTGACAGTGTCCTCATGCCCCCTGCTTTACCTGTGGGAGGTTAGGCTTTTCTTGGTGTCCTTGAGCTATGTACGGTGTAGTTATATGTCAGGATTGTTTGTGCAATTTTAGGAATAGCTCTCATATGGGTGGAGTAGGTAGGGGTGTTCTGGCTTTGCACA